AAAGTCTAATACTTGTGTTTGTCTAGTAACTGTGAATGCAATCGTGTCTTAAAATTGGATTGTCGGTTTTGCTATGGAACCAATAGATGGCTCCACAGTGGACAGTTTTGTTATGGAGCCAATAGTTGTAGAGCCAACCTTCTATATACAACAAATAAATTTACCATATTAATAAAATTATATTAATATTATTTAAGTAATCAAAAAATATGATAAATTTATTTGTTATATATAGAAGGTTGATTCCACTATGAAACCAACAGTGTTGCTCCAATGGACTGTTATCTCCAAATATTGATTGCGCACATCGAAGTTAAAGTTAATTCAGGCGAAATCTAAAGAAGACAAAATCTCAATCTAAAGAAGACAAAATCTCCCTATATGAATTTGAAGATATTAAAGAGAGACTTGTATCCATAAAAAAAGTTGTATGTGACGATTTATTTTTATTTTTATTTTTATTTTTTTATTTTTTTTTATTTTATTTTTTTTTTTTAAAATATAGTGGCCGAATGTAAGTGGAAATTTGGTAAACAATAATACAATATCATAGTGGGGTAACGAATAATGAATTTAGTAATTAGGAGAAGCTTTTCAATTTAAGGAAAAAGTCAAGTGGTGCGTGAAAACAAACTAAGGTATGGTCTCACATGAGGTCGCTAACATTAAATGCAAATAAAGATAACATAAAATAAAATAGAAAAATCAGAGCTTCATGATTGAAATATAACAGGATCGTACACACTGCTTATGGCTTGTGCGCGCTACTAATTCCTAAAACAACTACTACTGCTTTTCCTCTCTTATTTTCCCTCTCTATTTTTTAATTATCATTATAACATTGCAATTTAAATTTCAACTCTTTCATAACATTCGACAATTACATAATTTTAATAATATCACTTGCATTCGCGTTATGTGATACACCAAAAACACAAGCTTATTGTTTTGGTTGTATTTTATCCGGCTTGGGTATAAGTTTTCTTCCTTTTTTAAATGTCTCATTCAAAAAATGAGATAAAAATGTAATTTTTTTTTTTTTTAAAAAAAAAAGGTAAGATAATTTTTAGGTTGTAAATGACTAAAAGATAAACAATATAATAATTTTAAAGTTAATGTGATGTATAAATAATAAAACATCGATTAATGTAATAGTTAATGTGAGTGAATGAATTTTTTTTTGAAAAAAATCAATAATTATTAATTTTAATTATTGAATTGTATTAACGATTTATAAAGAAAAAGTGAGGTGGAATAATAGGAATTTTTATTAAAAAAAATTATTTGATATTTTAATAACATAAATCTTGTCTCAGTTAATAAAAAAAGAATTTTTTTTATTACCATATTCTCTTTGCAACACTATTCATGAATCCACTACCGTGACACAATTTTTGGTTCGGAAAAATCCAAATTATATATACAATTTTTAAAATTTATTATATAAAGTTTTAAATTGATAAGTTTCCTAATGTGTACTTACAATTGTTTTCTTACAGTTAAGAACCCTAATATGATACAAACAGTTTCCAACTCAATTAACAATGAATTCTGAATCGAACTTTATCATTGATTTATGACAGTGAGACTTTAGTGACAAAAAAATGTGTTGCAATAGGGCAGATTTTTGTTACTAATAAACAATAGAAACAAGTATATTTCGTTACATTATTAGTTAGTAAAAATAAAGGTGCTGATGCTCAGATTTCGTTCCATTGCTATCACTAACGGTTGTTGTAACAAGCAACCAATTTTTAGTATTTGATAAATAGAAATCAACTTAGAAACGAGACTAATTGTTCCTAATTATTCAGTAGTAGAAACCAAATTAGAAACGAGAATATTTGTTCCTAATTCTCATTTCAGCTACCAAATTTGAATTGGATTGTTCAGTTCTTAATATCCTAATATTAGTGACAATTACAATATAATGGCATAATTTTTCCTTCTTCATCCGATGCATTAAGTAATCACAAGAATAGTTTTCAGTAAATTTTTTTGCATCAAATGAATTCATTAATACCACTTACAATAAGCAAGAAAGATTAAAGAAAAATAAAATAAAATACAATTATTTTATTTCATCACTACAATAATAAAAATTTCAATTGATAAAACATCAAAGCACAATTAATACAAATTACTAATCATTTTATATCCTCAAATCAAACAGGAACTAAAATTTTTAACATTTGAAGATGATCCCCCAGTAGAACTCGCTGAACCTTCTCTTGTTGTTGTGCCGTTGATGCTTCCTCCTTAGTTACATTTTTGTGTCTGTTGTTTGTCCCATTTTTGTTACGATTTTCGTGTCTATTTTCTCATTTTTTTTCCCCCATTTTAAGTCAATTATGTGGTTTTAGAGTCGTTTGTCGTTTATTTCGTGTTTCGCGTCTTTGTGAGTATTTCTGATTTTTCGTGTGTTTTCCGTGTATTTTTTCGGTTTTTCTTTGTTTATGGTGTGTAGGTCGAAAGCTTCGGAAAGATCGAATTTTGGGCGAAAGTTAGTTGGGCTAGCATAAGTAGATAGAGGAGTTCGTTGGGAACACACAGGAAAAAGCGGAATCAAATTCCGAGTTGAAACGAGCTCAAACGGACCCGAGAAGCAAAGTTGTGCGAGCTGCCCACCTGCCCAGGCCCCGCGCCGCGCCACCCGTGCCTCACCGCGCCGCGCCAGTGCCACGACATGGACTGCAGCTCCCAGGCATCCCAGGCCCCGCGCCGTGCCAGCGTGCTTTCTCACGCCGTGGCCGACTTCTCTTATAAATATGTGCACGGGAACTCGTTTTAGGGATTCTCCCTTCTGGGGTGAAAATCCTAGGGTCAGGAAAAGCGACAGAACTCTTTCTTCTTCCCTTTCATCTTCTCCATCATTTTTCTTCTTCTCTTCACCTTTCTTTTCCATTTTTCTTCTTCTTCTTTATAGTACTTAGGAATTAAGCTTGTAATTCAGATTCAACACTTGGAATTGCGATTTATTGTAAGTTCTTCTCTTTATTTTTAATTCATGAAAATGATTCAATTGAGAGAGATGATTGATTGTTTTGAATTTATTTTACGCAGCTAATTCCTTCTGCTAGGGATAGGGGATGATTGTTCTTGATTAATTTCGTTATTATTGGGCTTTAATTTGTTCATGCTTGTGCGAGTTGCTTTAATTAGGGTTAATTAATTCTTGCTTGATAACTTGATATAATCGAAGGGTGACACTTCGATCTTGCAATTGATGTCAATTGAATATTGATTGTCGAGTTAGGGTTTGTTGATTCTATATGATTAGTTGATTAAACACCTTCTAATTGAATTAGCGACTTTTTGAACCGAAAGGGGAGAAGTCGTAGACCTAGGCTCGCATGAGATAGATGATTTCGTAGCTGAATAGTCTATAGGTTTTGGATTGAAATACGTACTTGTCGATAACCCGTCTCTTGTTACGAAAAGTTATTGAGACTGAGATAATTGACATGTGTTGTATGCTCGACCTTGTTTGTCTATGTTCAATCCCTTGTTACGAAGAGTTATTGGGAGCGAACCGCTAGATATTTAAGCAAGAGTGTCAATCTCGAACCGAATAATTGATTGCCCGATTTGCTAAGAACTTGAATAAATTATCCCCGATTCCCTAGCTTCTTTATCGCTTTCTAGTTCGTACTTTAGGTTCATTTTTGTTTGCTGTTAATTTCTTAGTTGATAATATATTCCTCATTTCTGATTAGAGTGTTTAGGATTTGTTTTCTTTTTATGTGTTATCATTACCAAAGCTAAATTCCGAACCGCCTTCCTCGAGAGATCGACCCGGGAAACAAATCCTTGATTCAGAACTCGGTAAATATAACAATTTGTACACAACAAAAATTTGGCGCCGTTGCCGGGGAAGGCAAGTAGGATATTTGGTTTTGGTATTGATTTTATTTTCCGTGTTTCTCTTTGTTTTATGTTTTTGGGATTTTTGTTCTTTCTTTTGTGCATCTTTGTTTTTCTATTTGTCTTCTTTGTTTTTGTCTTCTTTTTCCTCCCTTTTCTTGGCTACGCGTGGTTGTTTGGTTCTGGTGTGCAGGTACAATGAATTTCAATCACGGGTACTCCTCCCTGCATTACCCATCTTGGAACGACGAGCTGGTTTGTTTCCCCGGGTACCACACCCAACCTTACCCGTATTCTTCCGAGCAGTGCTGGAACGATTTTTCGGTTGAGCAAACTTATGAGTCCCACGAGTTTAAGGAGAAGCTTGACCAGATTCTTGATTTCATAGAGTCCAAATCAGCTCGAGAAGTAGAGGCCGCCTACAATGCCAAACTCGATCTCATCTTAGATCGATTGATGGCCCGAGCGAAACAAGAGGAGGAGATTGAGCTCAGATGTGCCCGATTGAGCGAGCAAGTGGAAAGTCTAGCAAGGTGCATCGACTCGATCGAGTCCCAGGCCCACAAGCTCGAGGTTGTGGACCCACATCCCATGCCCGAGCATCTAAATGAGCTCCAGGACGACTCCTCAGAGTACAATGCCAAGCTCGACCTCATCCTCGATTGGATGATGGCCCGAGCAAACCAAGAAAAGGAGATTGAGCTCGGATGTGCTCGGCTGAGCACACAAATAGAGAGCCTCACTGTATGTCTCAATTCGATTGAGGCACAAGTCGACAACCCACACCTCATGCTTGATACTCAAGCCCGTACGATGAAGCGAATGTGTGAGGCCGAAGAAGATGATGAGCTCCAGCGAGACGTTGATGTTATTTCAGAGGTGGAGATCCATGGACTTGATTCTCAAGTCACTCCTCCCACTTCTGAGTTGGAGTGTCTATCTTCGAGGTTGTTGCACTGTGTTACGAAATGGGTGGGATTCAATTCGACTTGGTCCACTGATGTGCTTATCATCCCAGTTGACGATAGAGCTCGGGTGGGAAAAGCTCTGCGTTTAGAACTGGGGATTGCTCGTGCCCGAGATCACTTCCTTCAGAACACAGCCACCCGGATCTACCATTCCCGCCTTCTTGCCAAACTGCCTGGGCTACCACTTCTCGAAATTACGAAGGCGTGGCATGATCGCTATTTCTTTCTGGACCCTGGTTGAGTAGTTTTCAGGTTTCGTCAAGCTAATGACGTTAAACAAGCGCTTCTTGGGAGGCAACCCAAGTGATTTATCGCTTTCTTAGATATTTTTCTTTTTGCTCTTTTATTTTATCTTTGAATAATGAGAGATTTGGAGTTTCTGTGTTTTTCTTGGCATGTACGAGTTTGCGAGCTTGAGCAGGAGGAATATCAAGGTTCCGAGCGGATCGTGGGCGAGTAGCTTGCACGTATTTTCTTCGAGGCAGCCCCGGTTTGCACACCTTTTCTATTTTACATTTTATTTGGGAGTGTTTCTTCCTTCTGTTTTTCCTTCTTAGTTTGTGTGCTTGTGTTAGTTGCTAGTTTGGTTCATTATGTGAAATTGTTGGGTCCTTTATTTGGCTTCCTGTTTTGTATTGAAGCAATGAGGACATCGCCTCATTTTAAGTGTGGGGGAGTTATTCGGATTTTTTCATGCTTATATGGTGAACCGGTCTAGTTTTAGGTTTTTGTGTTGTTGAGCAAGGTATTGGTGGATTATATGATTTGTTGATGAATGTTTGATGAAATTGGGA